TCGGCTATTCGCTGATCGTGACTTGCAAATGCTCTACGATGCCCTAACTTCCCTCTCTCGAGGCCAATATTGTCAGATTCCCAGGTAAACCAAAAATAAAAAGCCCAAAAAATTAAAAGCGGGTGTAAAGGAAGCATTACTATGCCACGAGGACATACGCATAATTTTTGGAAGAGCAGGGTCCGATTCGCGAGCTGAATCTTGGGAAAATCTTCGAATCCAAACGAATTCTGAAACTGCAGTTAGCAAATTGCTTTTTCATTTTCCAGAAAGACAAGTAAAGTGTCACTAATAAGTCTGGGTTATAATATCAAATTTTGTTTTAATTTATCTTGGATGAAAAACTTGATAACATGCTTGATTGCTCAAAGCAATGTTGAGAAGCTGACCCGTTTACTTTGCTACCCGTGTGTTTAAGTCTCCAAGAACGTATTTATCGTACAGTGAAAAGTCAATTGTTGAAATATTCAAACAGGTGTGTTTATTTAGATTTGAGCTCCGATCGCTTTAGTTTTAGGTTATATATTTAAAGTGACAATACTGTATAACTTAGTTAAAAAATCAAATATAAGTACGGTACGAAAACCGATATATTTTTGTTATTTCTTGGCCCCATTAAACTATCTCCCTGAATTGCATTACCGCTTGCTGGAGCGATTTTCTCTTTTCCAAATCTCAAAATCGCTCTAAAAAGTCTTTTGAAGAAGTCAATAGAATAATGTTAAAATGGAGTAGAAACTTGTTGGAAAGGCGACGGCAATGGACGGCAAAAAAAATTGGAGTAAAATAGTAATGTGGTGTACCGAAAGTTGCTTAAATAATTTGGAGCGAGATTCGTAGAATCGTACCAAGAAACATTTTGGGGAGCAGTTTTGAATTCAATTAGCCATAAGTTCTCTGCTGTCAAACTTTCAAAGTAAAGAAAAAAATTTTCGAACGTGAAAAAAGTTTCGTTAAGAAACATACTGAGAATAGTTTTTGAAGTTATAGTCCTGAACATTGAGTCTTACTGAGGTGTGCAATGAGTCTGCTGCACGAAAGAGATACAGCCAACTGAATTTATACTTTCTAAGAGTAAATTCGCTCAACAATCGTGTCGGGCACACTAAAACAGGCTGAAATCAACTTCTTTGTCGAGAAATCTGCCTGAGTTGAGTTAGGTCTCTCTTAGGGCAAACCTGACTGCCGGCTTTCAAGAAAAACTTACGCATACGCGGGAAACTTGAAGAAGCGTGTCACAAACTACGCGGATTGAGAGATAAGGAATGGCTTTCAGAAATTTTTGACGTACCTAATGTGATTTTCGTGCGCTTTTACCCTTTCACAGTATATTTATTTGGCTGTATCTCTTGCGTGCAACCGACCCATTTCAAGCCTTTCTTGCAACTTGGTGCGTTTTTGTTAAACTCGGTCTGTTCAGCAATTTAAAAATCAGGAATTAAAAATATACATTTCTCTTACGCATATTTTCAAAATTTGGAAGTGATTCCATGATGTCCATCTACTACTGAGCACCTGGGTAGCATTTTGAACGGCATACTGCCGTGATAGCAATGAGAGCAGTAAGTGCAAAAATGAAGTTTTTAGAAAACGGGCTTGGTTTCTGACAGAAAAATTTGATTGAAAGAAGCCTCCGTTATTCGTCAAATTGTCACACTGAGAAAAAATTATGCGGTTATAATTACCATATTAGTGGTGTTCAATATGAACTCATAATTAGTAGTTGCCATAACCAATAATAGAGATATTTTTACCATTAAATGGTAATTTTACTACCGCACACTTCTAAAATTACGATTGCTCCAGTAAAAATATAACTATTATTGGTTATGGCCACTACTAATTCAGAGTGCATATCGAACACCACTAATATGGAAATTATAACCATAGTTTTTTCTCAGTGCACTAATCGCCCGAAAAACTCCTAGAAATCGTTTGGATTTTTAAAAATTGACTGATTTTATTTTCATTACATAAAAAGGGTATTTTTCATTTTCATGCTAGGCAATCAGGTGAGACAGCCGTCAGCCGTAAGTGCTATCTTCTACACGCTTTCGTGGTTGCGATTTGGACGCACAACAAACACATTTTCAGGTTAGAAATTTGCAGAAGAGGGCGGCACTTTACTTGAAAGCACTGTTTTCATTGGCTCTCTGGAGGAACTCACTTACTGCTGTCTTGCCTAAAATTACGTCATGTTTTGCGTGCTTACGGCTTTCTTAATGTCTCGTTTTGATACAATTAAGATAAATTTCGCTTAGCTATTTCAATGATTTCATCTGAAAGAGTTTGGACAAATTTTGAGGGAAACTCGATTTCGAAAATTTGACACTTACTGCTCTCTTCGCTATCACGGCAGCATAGCACAGTGACCATCATAGAGTGCTTGCATCAGATCAGGCGCATCTTTCTCGGCAGTTGCGTATAGTTTGCAGTTGCCCGATTTCGACCCCGTGGGGCCGCGCGGTGGGACCTCACACGATTGCAAAGCTTCGCAGGGCTTTTTTCACACGTTTCACGTGTGCGAGCTATCTTTTCTAAGCCGCCACAATAGAGGCTAAGTAGATCGTGTGGAAGCCAGCGTCTTCCCGTTTTACGATGGGAGTATCGCAATTGGTTGTCCCGTGATATATTGACGCACGATCGCCTAACCAGAATTGCCAGATGTTTTTCAAAAGTATACACTTACGTTTAGCTAGAAAAAGTTCAATACTCGGTGACATTTTTGCCAGTTTCATGCTGTGAAATGTTACGCTAAAGGACGTTATATATGCTTTAAAATAAAAGGGGATGGAAAAAAGATTATCAAATATGAATTTCTCACCGTTACGATTATTATTTGGTATTGATTGCGTCCTGAATCCAGTAAATGAACATTTTAAATTAAAGGATTCGTTATGGTCAGGATGTATTTCTAAAGCACATATCCAAACAACATCAAAGTTCGTTTTTTAAGGTTTTAGTTTTTCACGCGCACGGATAAATAATTTCGTTATAAGCTCGGAGATAAGTGATTACAACTGCAATTGTTTCTTAAAAAGTGAATTATTTCCAAAATGAATTGGAAAACCGCAGTTTTTATGTACTTTCATCAAGAGCAAATCAACTAATGCATTGATGAAAACGTAGCTCTATTCATTATTCATCGTCAACGAGACAATGTTTTGTCTAAAGAGTTTTGAAAAAAAAAATACATATATAAAATAAAGCCTTTTTTCAGGACAAGCTGACAGATATATATTCCACATTGACTAAAAAATCAAGACCAAGTATTGTTGAAATATTACAAAAAATGAAGAATAAAGGACAAAATAAAATTCACCTTTTTTAATTAATGTGATGAGACTTCGTGTCATTATAAATTCAAATTGATCATATTTTATTTCCGTTTCATTAAATGTTGATAGAAACTTGATGGAAAATTATGAAAAAATGATGACAATGTCATCACAAGAGATGAACCATGTACACAGAGGAACAACTCCATCAAAATCTACGGAAGTTTGGAAAGCCAGTCAATTGCACAGCAATAAAGCTGCCAGTTTGTTTGGAAGGAACTATATGTGTGGATTTGCTTTAAACATGTGGGAAAATGTTGCGTACTTATTATCCACCTTCTCGATACTCTCAAATAAACTTATTTTATTTGCCATTTAAAATAAAAAAACTATAAGCAGAATCATTCAAAACATATAAACCTCTACCGTCAAATTTTTTCTTTTGAAAAAGAAAAAGAAAAAAAGGATTTGAGGAAAAAACTATAAAAGATGAAAACCTAAGTTGACTTTTGAAGGTCAGAACAACAGACGCAGTGCAAGTTACATTTTAGTAGAATAAAAAGAAAAAAAGTGAAAAAAGATAAAAAAGTGAAAAGTCAGAAAAAAACATGCCAAATATAATTAACTCAAGTAAATCCATTAGGAAAACTGTATTCACTGGCTCACTGGAAATTAAAATTAAAGAGACTTTTTAGCTTCGACTATTAATTGCAAAAGACGCTTTTAGTGTTAATATTCCTCTTCTTTTTTTTCTTTTTTTTATCATTATTATTAAATCACAAGGTTTTCTACCAAGGACTTAGGTATGTCGAACGACGCACGATACAAACTTATTCTCTTTAAGTATTAAACGTTGTAAAATCACTTATTTTGACAAAACCATCACCGTGAAAAAAGAGAGAAGGAATATACTTCATGCGTGCATTCTGCTGCATGCTGCGTGATCGTATAGCAATCGAGCGTGCGATGCATAATTTTACCACCTCTTAAGGGAAGTCATGTCTAACCGAAATTGGTTCCAGAATACATGTGTGTATTTTGGTGATCAAGTTAAATATAGCCAATTGTTACTTGTTCTGTCTGGTATTGTTCAGTATAAGACTATTTCGCGTAAGATTTGTAGTTTCCAATAGGTCGGATAAGTTTTTGAGAGGCAATTCAAAAAAATTCTAGAAAGCAACTCATGAGCTGTAAAGACTATCAAGAAAAGCACGTTTAACATAGAAACAAGAGGAACTGTATTCAAGTAGATAAGTTTTGTATCTTTACAGTTTACAGTTGTTCCCGCTGTTGATGAGATACGTGTACTTTTGTCATTACATTGCCTAAAATAACGGAATTTTGATAATTTTTTGATCATTGTATTCGAATGATCACCTCACAAAATGAGCATTGTAAAATAAGGAGTCAAATGTTCAAGTTTAGTCACTAGAAGTTGATTCTGTCTGATTTTAAGTCACATTGAGCACAGTTGTAAATCCATCGTTAACATACGAAGTCCATGTCGATTGATCACTACCTCGTGTCATTCACAGCACCAAAAAATAAAAAAATAAATAAAAATAAAAGTAAACAAATAAAAATATTAAATACTCCTACGGTTCAGTGTAAATAACTAGAAAAGCTGTCGCGTTGTTACGATTCCAAGTTAATTTTGATAAAACTAATGTAAGCACCACTACACAGAGCCATGAAAGTAATGAAAACCTACTGAAAACTGACCTGAGCTAATGCCATGACACTGAAAAAAGGTGACACCCGCTAAAATCAACTAACAAACTAAAGTCCACAAAAATCGGAGCACTATTGCCGGGACCGCGGTGCGCGAAGTTTATATAGCGGGGAACTTTAAAAAGGGGAGCGGCAGGGGGCAAGCTGGCCGCTCACTGAGCGCCGTCGTCTGCGGTGTAGGGTCCGAGAGAGGGGAGGGGGAGGAGTCACAGTAATTGTCATTATTTTGAAAGTTATATCATGATGAGAGAAATATCGGAATCAAGGTTATGTGGACTCCCGTAAAGTAGCCCCCTCTCCCCCCGCAATGACCCCTCCCCCCTTCCGGCAGCTCGACGCAGGTGGGCACAGCGGTAAATACATGGTGCACTAGTCATCGGCATACTCGCATCTTAATCGTAATTATTTGCGTTTCCGTTGTGACGAGAGATGTGCAGACATTCGAGGGGTTATCTTACATTAATTATACATTGTATACCATTCGAATTTTTATGAATATTTAGTCTCATGTTTTCACAGGGTAGAGAGAAAAATCGCGTTGGTACTTGAAACAAACTAACGTCTATGAGAATTCGATTTTACACGATTCTAATTCCGTTTCAGCGTATCATTACCCGAATATGTCATTTAGAAATAAATATGTCTCTATAAATAGACACTTACCATACGCACGCATTTTTGCTCCCTTCTCATATGTTCGTGTCTTCCGAGAAATGTTGCCTTTTTATAAGTGAAAGGTTACAGAGACTTAAACGCAAGGTAAAGAAAATCATCTCATACGTAAATCCAGGTTGTGGCTCATTTGGACAGAATTTTGCAATAAATAAATATTATTTCTGGTTAAATACGTCATTTTTGACGAATCAGTTTGACCTTTAAAAAATAATTTCTAGTCACTTTAACATATTTATAAAATTTATTACATCCTAAAGTTTACCAAGTTAGATTTCAAGTCGTCATTTCCAGCGTCGACAAAAGTATATACGAGCAATTAAAAATTGTGATTTTAAAAGTGCTAACAATGCATTTAAAGACTGTTTAGTGAGTTGTTTTCCCTGTCTTTTTTTATCTCTGTACAGAGTTTTTGGGTAAGAATTGTAGGCTGGTTTAGTTAATGCCTTGTTTTAAGTGGATTAAACACTATATTGTTGCGGCACATTTAAGGGGCCTGGAGGACTAGAGTGCATCCATTTATGTGGTTTTGAATTTTAGTGGTAAATTTTTCCCAGAATTTATTTTAAGACTAGTCTTGGTTGAAATCATTGATAACTTCATGTATCAAAAACTACACTTATCCCACTTGTCTTCCAAGCCCCTCAATAGTGATATTCCAGTTATACTGATATGTATACCAGTCACGGGCAAAACAGAGAAAAATTTCCCAGAGGGCCTTTAGAAGTTTCTGTGTATAATTTTACCAAATTTCCTTTTGATTGAATTCCTGTTATCTGAGGATTCCGACTGTCGCAACAAGAATTCCATCGGGACAACTGGGATTCCAGCTGTCTCAAATACGAGATAATCCGACGAGGAAATGATTGACTGGAACATTTTTCTCCCTGCAATACTCTTCGTTATTTTTTGATTATTACGGCCTCGTTAGTTTTTACAACTAATCTTTTTCCCTTGTGTCTAGTTACATCTACGACAATTTTTCTTGCTCATTAAAAACTGCAGATTCGTCATCAAGCTAAATAATCAATCTCTTAGTTGCCATATTCCAAAATTCCTGATGCTCTTTTCTTTGCATTTTTTTTACCGTAAAACCTCAATGAGTGCTTCTCTAATACCAAATACTTTTCAAATTTTCCCGTTTTATTTACTATACTCCCTATGGTATAAAATTTACTTTTAGAAGTTAACTCTCGCATTCGTTAAGTAGCAACTGATGACCAAAGAGTTGAACAATTAGTTCGGCAATCCTAACCTAAATTGAACGTATTCTGTCAAACGGAACTAAGTGTATTAAGACATGAGCCTTCAGATCCTTAAGAATATATGGATAACAGGGCTCACGTCATAATGCACATAGTTCCGTACGGCAGAAATAGGTCCAATTGCAAAATTTCGTCTAGCAAATAGCTCATCCCAACATTCATCAGTCATCACCAGGCAAATTCTATAGGTCTCGATAGACGATCAAATTCCCGAACCAATTACCATCAAAGTGTCGGGAGTCATCAGTCTTATTCTCATTTATTTGCTTAATTTTAAAATGAAAACTTGGCAGATATGTTTCCCGTGGCAGGAAATGGTGAATGGTGGCACTCCATTCTGATCTTGCTTTGAACCAAACAGTGCGGCCTGTCAAAATTTGATGGTAGATGGTGACCACCAGTCATCAGCATGTCTACTTTGATTCGGAATTGGTTCGGAATTTGATCGTCTATCCAGGGCTTATTTGTTTTAAGCTCGAAATGTTGCGCATAAATCATCATCACACTGGAAAAAAAAGTAGCTTGGATCAAGCATGATGATTCTTGAATTTGCCGCCAAGAATTTCTTTTTATCTTGCTTTTAGCTGACTTTTCCTAGATACAAGACAAATAAGGTTTGGGTTAAGCAAAAAAGTAGCTTATATTAAGCAGAAAAATTCTTGATTTAAGAAGAAATACTTCTTGGCGGCAAATTTAAGATTCTTTTTTTCCAGTGCATGCAAAATCAGCGTTTACCTCCGAATCTAACTTTTGCCCTTCCCGATTACATTGCCTAGATCGACAGGGCTAAGTTTCTAAAATATATTATCTCTTGTTAAAACGGAAGGGTATTCTAAATTTTCTCTCCGGGGTTGCCGGGAGGCGATCGGTCGGGAGCCCCCCGCGGAGAGTCGGGAGACGGAAACGGCGGTGGAGCCGAGGTCTGCAACTCGGGAATTTCGTCACCGGGGACGGGGACAGCCTGATTTTTCAGAAATATGAAATAGGGTTAACCGACGGTGGCGTGGAGCGGTGTCTGCGAGGCAATTTCAGGAGGAACTCGTGACCGAGCGGCGACCATAAAGCTCCGCACTGCCCGGCGACGTCGGTTATTACTCTCCCGATCGACGGACGACGGCAACGGGTTGGCTTAAATTAATCTAAAAATCGCTCCAGTAGTCCCTTGCTCCCGATCGCAGTTATCCAGCAGCTGCCTCCGCAGACCTCCCGTCCTAAGGAAAAACGCCGTATGTACCCTCAGGGGTTGCCAAATGGACCGCGTTTAACAGAAAGGAACCAAGCCACATCAGCCATTGCTAAATTTAACTGGACAGTTTAATTTTTTACGAGGAAACGTTTGTGCGGATTCTTTTGAAAATTTTAAGGAATTCGCTTCGCACTAGGGAGAAAATTCCCTGAAATTTGCATGAAAATCCACACAACCGTTTTCATGGGAAAAATTAAATTGCCCAGTTAAATTTGGCAATGGCTGATGTGGCTTGGTTCCTTTCTGTTTAACGCGGTCCAAATTTCCTTTGATAAAACGCGAATTACCTGGTAAATTTATGGATATTTTCCTCCCGATTTTTCGGATTATTTAGTTCGCAATTTTACCTCATGATTCTGAAAATTTCAAGGAGAAATATTCATACCTTTCCGAAAAAATAAATATTTTACTTAAGGAAATTTGGCAACTCTCGAATGTTCATACGGCGTTCTTCCATAGCACGGCAGAGACTGTGTAAGCCTCATATCGCCCAGGAGTTGATTACATCCACAAATGCTACCAAGGAGACGAATTTCGAAATTTAAAGAACCCAAGAAACCCCCCTCATTATGAATAAAATAAAAGGTTAGGTTACGATTATTACACCCCTCATTATGACCACCACTTACATGTATTGTGTGGTCAGGGCTCAATTTAGATTATTCGGCGCCCCAAGCAAATGTGATTTTTACGCCCCCCCCCCCCCCCCCGATTCATTATGTACAGGCTGGTGGAATAGTTTAAAAACACATATGAGGACCTTTCCGGCTGATCATCAGATTCCTAGTATGTGGACATTAGTAGGGTTGTGCATCCCTTTAACTATTCGGCTTTTTAAAAATGTGTGGGTTCTTTCTACGATCTGCCTAGGATTCTCCCCCTGTCATTCTCAATACTTTAAGGAAGAGGACTGTGTAAAGTGAATAATCTTGCAGTATAGTAGTCGTATTAGTTAGTAGTCGTATTCGTTTATTTCAAAACGATGATTAATAGCAACTATGGTAGTAGTTGTACACTGCCTATCAAAAAAAAGAGAACGTTTTATAATATTCAGGAGGTTGACATGGTTAGATGTTGTCCCGTCGAGAGGGTGCCTATATAATTGCTATGTTGAGCTGTCTTCAAGTAATTCTTGATTTCCCTAAGGGTTGGAAACGATCTCCGGGACTTGCGAGCAGATGCGGTAGCGTATGATAAAATTTTGACTGGAGACACCAACTATAGACACATCATATCTAAACAGTAATTTTGAGTTAATGAAGGCAGCATCTAAGGAGGGAAAGTGGACGCAGCTGTTCCATACTGCCATCAAATTCACCCACGATAAGGCAAAAAATAAATGGAACGATTTTCCTTCAGAGCATGCGGAGAAAGATTCGTATCAAAAAATGTTATTGCTTGCATAGGTTGCTAATGATTTTGCAGCGTTTGGCCCTAACGGGTGAAAACAAACTCAGCAGAAAATCTACACGTGTTTACTCAACATTGGCCTTTGAAAAAGCCCGCCTCTTTAGGGGCATGCTCGGTAATTATGACATTTAGTGAAAGGCGCCGCCGAATGCCATGCGGGAGCTCACATACCGTTTCTTGCTTGCTGTGCCGGAGACAATAACCTCTAAACTAGTGTGATAAGAAAACAAAGTATAGGTGGAGCAAGTTCAGTCCGAGGGAAAACAAAGAGAGGTCAAACTTCCCACTTCGAACTGTTCTCCATCAGCCACTGATTACCCTTTTTTCTGATCTTGACCTATTCTATAAAGTAACTTCCTTAGGCTAGGTAAAATTTTTCAAATCAACGTTTAGTTTTCCAATTTCAACTGAACAGCTTAATAGGTCAGTTGAGAGGGTTGGAGGAGAAAGGCGCGTAAGTGTAGTTTTCGCTTTTTCGAGAAATACTTGTTTGAAGTTTCGAAATTGCATGGATCATCATGGCAGA